GTCTGGTCCCGTTCTGGTCCCAGTCTCAGTCCCGGTCTCAGTCTCATTCTCAGTCCCGGTCAGGTCCTGGTCTGGTCCCAGCCTCAGTCCTGGTCTCAGTCCTGGTATGGTCCCGGTCTCGGTCCCATTCTCAGTCCCGGTCTCAGTCCCGGTCTCAGTCCCGGTGTCAATCATCAAATCAAATCAAATCAAACTTTATTTATAAAGCACTTTTCATACAAAATGCAACACAAAGTGCTTTACAGTGATTAAAAACAGTCCCGCATTTCCAACCACCCAACCACCCACCCACCAACCCAACCCCCGCACCCCCAACCCCACATAGTCAAACAACCCAAACACACACTCACATACACACAAACATGCACACACACACACTCACACTCACACGCTAAAATACATAACCGGACACAATAAAATGTGAGGCTGAATATAGGCGAACCAGTTGAGAAAGCACCATCAGAGGAGCCGTCTGCACCGGGAGCAGAGAGACGTCCACCACCACCAGGAACCACCACAGGGTCCAGGGAGAGATGAAGCCCGGGCACCTGAGGCCCAAGCACCAACCCTCCACCAGGAGCCCACATGACAGACCCAGCAGCCACAGCTGACCTCCACTCTCGATGCAGAGGGCTCCTACAGAGGAGACACTGGAAATCCTAAAAAATATGCCTAAGATAAATAAATATAATAAAATGTGTACAATAAAAACAAGTAAAAGTATAAGATTTCAATCAAAAGCTAAGCTAAAAAGGTGGCCTGGTCTGGTCCCAGTCTCAATCCCGGTCTCAGTCCTGGTCCTGTTCCCAGTCTTAGTCCCAGTCTCAGTTCTGGTCCTGTTCCCGGTCTCAGTCCTGGTCCTGTTCCCGGTCTCAGTCCCGGTCTCAGTTCTGGTCCTGTTCCCGGTCTCAGTCCTGGTCCTGTTCCCTTTCTCAGTCTTGGTCTCAATTCTGGTCTGGTCCCGGTCTCAGTGCTGGTCATGGTCCCGGGCTCAGACTTGGTCTATTCCCAGTCTAAGTCCTGGTCTCAATCCCGGTCTGGTTCCGGTCTGGTTGGACCTGGTTCAGTCCTGGGTCAGTCCGTCTGTGGCGCAAAAGTCCGGCATCACAGTTTAAGTCACGTAAACGGGAAACGGCCGTTATCCATTTTTTCCATTATTCATTTAAAACAAAAATTGAAAACTGAAACAACTAATCGTTATCCGTTTTGTTCATTTTGGTTTTGGAGACAAATAATGAAGAAAATTGTTGTTTTTTCGTTTTCTTATTTTTGGTTTTATATTGAAAAACGAATAAACAAATGATACAGGGATTCAGATCTATATCTCACTGACAGCAGGTGAGTATGGCGGGATGGTGGCTGTGGGGACTTTGCCTGTTCTCCCTGTGTCTGGGAGGGTTGCTTTACCAAACTTAACGACAAGATCTGGACATGGGTACCCGAACGTGGCACTGTGACGCCCACTGCTCCTCACATTTTGATAAGGCGGGATTGAAGTATGGGTCAAACGCAGAGGACAAATTTCCCCATGGGTCATTAAAGTGTACTTTAACCTTAATATTGACCATTCAACAGATCAGTATCTTATCTTCTCTTTACTTGTACCTTTTATTATCACACATTTATGTATTTATTAGTTTGTATTGTTAGTTCAACACATGTGTCTTGTTATTTAAATGTGTTTGTGTATGAATTATGCTGTACAAACTAGCCAAACTCAACACTGTATGAAGTGTTATCTGATTGTTACATTTGACAATTCTCTTTAAGCAGAGACGATCATTACATGGAATTTTGGTGGAAAAAAAAACACACAGTAAAAACTCTTCTTTAATTCTTTATACTGAAGATCACTAACATGCAAATATAACACACACACACATGTTATATACCGTATTTTTTGGGCTATACGGCACGCTCTTAAGCCTCCAACCCCATCAAAAAAACAAATGCACACCCCCACAATCCAGAGCGCCCTATACACGAATCCACTCGGGTGTCCCAGCACGACTTCAGTAAACTACAAAGCCAAACCACCTGCAGCACACGCAAACACGCATGGAGCAGACAGTGACTGCACAGCAATAAACACCTACAACCACACTCATCACTCCACGCGGACGAGGAATGGAACAGAGGAACGAACCAAAAAAGCGAATGCAATGTGCCACTCTGAGCCACAACTGAACAAATGAGTCATTGCAAACACGCCAACAATCCAGCGGTCCCAGACAGCACCTTCCCTACACGCCACAACTGAACAAAGGCAAAAGTCACCGTGAACGTGCCAAACAAAGTCCCATTGAGTCATCTAACTGTTATGTTTTTTTTAAAGTCCGGTGTGGTTTATTTGTGAAAAAAGTTCAAAAATAGACCATTCTATGACAGGGCGCCTTATAACCCAGAGCGCCCTATAGTGCGGAAAATGCGGTACTGTGTGTGTGTATAAGCCTAACAGAGTAACACTGGAACTGAAAATGAAAGTCAAATCTTTTAATAGAGAACACTGTTTTGGCTGCCTTGTGTCCCGAGTCAATTTACACAATTACAGTGCTGAGTCATACATTTAGTTAAAGCTTTATATTAGAGGCAGGGTTTTAGTGTGAAAGTGAAAAATGTTTTGAGAGAGTGCAGCAGTGTCAGATTCTTAAAGCCAGTTTATTCCTGCTATTGATCTAGTTTAGTCCCTAATATGTCTTAGTTTTAAGTTTAGTTGAGTCCGGCTTTGGTCCTGCCTATATCTAAATTAAAGTTTTCATTTTAATTAGTATTAGTATGTATTGTATGAGGGAATATGCTGAATTCTGTGTCTTCCTTCACTAAAGAAACAGATAGATGTTTTCAGCCCATCACCTACTTGGCTGTTTTTCAAGTTCCAGTGCGCAAACTTCATGCTCATGTACTCCCAGGTACAAATTGTGGGTGTAGACTCAAAGAATGGACTTCACAGGCTCACACTCGGATTCGGCTCTCTCAGTTTTTAGGATAGGTTGACTTGGATTACATGAAATAAAGCGCTTGTGGGAGCTCATTATGATAAAAGCTGATAGTGAATCTGAAAATATCTCACAATTTTAAAAAAAACTAAACAAAAAAACACTCTTATCTTATGTTAATCTATAACAAATGTCCCTTATTATAACCCAGCAGTGCTCATCATACTTTAGGCTAAAAGATTAAACTACATATGTCTTCTTTGTATTTGTATTTATATTTATTTCATCCTCCATTATCTATGGAAGCACAACTAAAACTGATCTATGTTATAATGCTGTTTCCTCATCACAAACAGACCTGGAGTTGTGTTTTGTTTCACTCACAAATGTTCTTCTCTCAAACAGAAAACACTTTGCTGTCATGTATTCTTAAACTCGCACACATCTTCACTAGAATCATTTGGATAATTTCAGCCTTGGAAATGCTGATCTCTACTGAACTAAAGTCATGATATCACAAGGTGGAAAGGAGCATTTTGAGCTTTGGAGACAAGTTTATAGACATACTACTAATAAAGGATTACTTGAACATGCCTTAAAGCTCACAAGAGTACATTTTGTGTAATGTAGAAATATAACCTAAAGCACACAGCATATTGTTTTTCACATCCTAAAGTCAAATTTGTTTTCTAATTATTGTTTATTGATCAGACATGCAAATACAAGGCTTGTACTCACAGCTCAGATTGACATTTCATTTCATTATAACACAATATTGTATTTGTGATCAGTCTAATTGCAGTCTAAATGTATATACTTCCACCCCTCATTCTGTTATAGTAGTAGTAAAAGTTATACATTGTTAATACATTCATTAGTAATTACATTTCTGTGTTACATCATAATATGACAGTTTATTTGGTCTTTTCCAGCTTACAATACTGATCAGAATTATAAAATACAGGATACCAATTGATACTTTGCAGTGACATCAGCTGGGAAGGTCCGCATGTATGTCTATGGCAGAATGTTCGGCAGGTTCCACGATGACACAGTGCAAACATTAGCAAGCACTGCCAAAAGAGCTTTAAGAAAACTCGAGAAACTGGATTTAAACAACAAATTTGAACACTTATGGTCACATTGAGGTGTTCTTGATGTTATATTGTTGTGTTCTTTGTGGTCAGATTGTGATTGATTGGATTAAGATCTAATAGACCATCAGACAGAGCAGTGCCTCTAGTTAGCATCACATCCCCAGGGAGTGTTGATGACGTCAGCTGCAAAATATCAACACAGTTATATTTGTTTCACAAGCAAAATACAAGGGTTTCATTTACAGCAGCGGTTTTCAGTAGGTGAGGCCCATCTCCCGTGGGGGCGCCAAAGAGCCACTGGGGAGGCGCGGCGCACACAAAGTAAAAATAACGGTCCACATCTGTACACATCTGCAGCAGTGTTGATATTGGTAATTGTGCCTGATTGTATTAGCTGGAGCATCACATGTCACCTGTTTTGCCTTGTATAAGCCGTGTGGACCATGCCTCTAAACCAGAACTAGAACCAGGACTAAAACCAGGACTAAACCAGGAGTAAAACCAGGACTAAAAAAGGTCTAAACCAGGACTAAACCCAGGTCTAAACCAGGACTAAAACCAGGTATAAACCAGGACTAATATCAGGACTAAATCCAGGATTAAACCAGGCCTAAATCAGGTCTAAACCAGGACTAAAATGAGGACTAAACCAGAACTAAAATCAGACCTAAACCAGGATTAAAACCAGGACTATAACCAGGTCTAAACCGGGTCTAAACCATAACTAAAACCAGGTCTAAACCAGGACTAAAATCAGGGTTAAAATCAGGACTAAAACCAAGTCTAAACCAGTCAATACATCTGTACTTTTAGTACATTGCTTTATGATTTGATGCAAACAGACACAGCACTCACTTCTCGCTGGATTTTGCTCAAATACTTAGGAAAAATACCACAGCCTTTAAACTTCTCTATCTCCCAGATTTTAATATTTTCTGAGTGGCTATTTATTTTTTAGCAGCTGATTATTCAAACATGAATGAATGAAGATGAAATACAACAGAACTCTGGATGTGATTTAGACAGAAAAGGTTAGTTTGTCAGAATATGGTCAGTGTGACTGCTGTGACTTGTCTGCGTCTAAGCAGATTTTAATGTCCAAGAATTAGGAAGCGTGAGGTGAGCATGCTTGTTGTTAGCTTTACTGTGACACCACGGTGAGTGCCCAAGTGAGGAAAAATTTTGGACCATAGCAAACTGAAGTAGTTCTGTTTTTCATGTTTTATGATAATAAAAATCAAACTAAAGCATCTTTAAGTAGATATGAGTTATGGATAGAAGGCTTGTTGTAACTTCTCCTTATATTTCTCAGAAACCTTCTCGCCCTCATTGACAGAATCATGGATTTCCTGCCACGCTTCGATCTCTGAGCTCCACAGAGCTGTTCTGGCCCTGATCCACCGTGAGAGCTCTGTCTCGGTGCCCTCAGCCAGACTCTTAGCATCTTTGTAAAGAAAGTATCCGTCTACTACAGCAAAAATACCATTCAGCACACCAGTGCCAATCTTTGCACACTTAGCCAAACGCAGGCCTCTACTCCCCACTCTGCGTGCTGCGGCACCAGCTCTAGCTAGCTCAGCTGTCTCTTCTATAACCTCACCAGCCATTCTTTTATATATAATACTACCAAGTCCTGTTAAATTATCAGCAAATATAGCACCTGCATAAATAGCTTCAGCATATGCTCTCAGACCCTTTTCATGCAGGCATTTGAAATGCTGATGAATGACATCATACAGGAAGTCCTGCAGCTCATTCATCAGCTTCACACACTTATTGAAAGCCTCCTCTGCTCTGGCTCTCTGTGTATCATTGACCTCAATCTCTGTGGCTGTGGTCACCAGGCCCTGGACTCCACTGGTCACTCCCAAACCAGCTCCAGCAGCAGACAGAGCCAAAGAAGCACCAGCTGTGAAAGGGGTTAACACCAAACCCAGGATAGACAGCCCTCCTGAGATAATACCCACTGAACTGCTGACCACACCGGATACCCTGGCTCCATGGTTCATACTGTCCAGCTGCCTCGCACAATCTTCTAACTCATTCATCAGCTCCTTCATCTGAGGCTTCAGCTCAGAGAACTTCTGCCTGAAGTCCTGGGAGTGATCTTTGAACAAGTTCACCATCCTGAAGTGTGGGTCATCCCTGAGGGCTCTGAGATCACGAATTTTAGTGGTCATCTTTTTAATGTCATCTTCAGATAAATCTTCCAGATAGATATTTGGTTGTTTCATGCTGAACTTGTTGAGGTTACTGCTTTTCCATGTATCACAGATGATCCTCATTGTCCTGATGTAACACTGTAGCTGGTTCTGGAGAACATCTTTGTTGAGCACCTCAGGGCAGAAGAATTTCTCCTGGTCCTGTTTGAATAAGAGGAGTAAAGGGCACAGGACTCCAGCAATTTTGATGATTTCACACAAAATCTTCCGGTTAGCTGCAGAAGACAGGCCCATCACTGGGTTATGATTCCTCTGGAACACATGGACAGAGGTGACTGCGAGCCGCTCCATGGCCTCCAGGAGGCGCTGCATGTCCTTCAGCCCATTCAGTGTTGGTTTCAATACAGATCTCAGCTCCTCTGAATCACTGACCTTGTCAATATTCTGGGCCTCTCTCTGTCTGTCCTTTATCCACTGCTCACTGGTCTTGATGAAGCTCTGAACGATGCCTACGTCCCTGTACGTGTCTGAGACGTACCTCCGCAGCACCTGCTCCGAGCTCTGGCTGCACATGTCTAGAAGGCTCTTCATCCACATTTCTATTATGGAGTTCATTTTGTTCGTGGTCACCAAGGTCTCTGTAGATGTTAGTCTGATCTGTGCGGACTCTGCTCTGAAGAGATTCTGATTCACAGCCCTTGTTTATCCATCCTTCCACTCCGAGAGAGAGAAAGTCTGGCTGCTGTTAGAACCGAAACTGAAAGAGAGCACTCTCCTGCAGCTAGCACTGTGCCCCGGTGTCCAGTTACAGTATATTTAGATAATATTTATTAAATTTTGAAGGACAGAAGGGGAGAGTTTTTACTTTTACTTTACTTTTTATTTTTTCTTTACGTTTATTTCTATTAAATTAATGCTAACAGGTGAAAATTACTCAGAAAAGTTCACTAACAAATACTCAGTATTGGTATTTCATGTTGTATAACTAATAGCTTTATTGAAAAGACCAAGAAAGTGAAAAGGACAGTAAAATAGTGTCCACTTTTATTTAGTATGTCCTGAGTCCTGCTTTAGTGCTGGTATTAGTCCTGTTTTGGTCATGGATTTGTTACATCAGTAATTGATTTTTTTTTTTTTTTTTTTTTTTTTTTTTTTACCTCACTTCACAACATATAATTTTTTCAGTAATTTAATATTAAACCATACCATGATCCATATATTACATTTTGTTCATTGTAAACCACAATATTAGTTGTAGTAAATCTACGTCTTAATAAAAGAGCTGATTTCTTGTTCAAAATTGATGAACTTCAGTTCAATGTAAAGTTTCCATTATGAGGTTTTTTTTTTTTTTTAAAGCTGCATGACATTTCAAAACTCTATGAGTCTGAATTATTTTGAGTACTTCTTTAACACTGCACAATTAATTTATTGTGTCTTTAGTGTGTTCTTTTTAAATTGCATGATTTTAGAGACATAATTGCTCGTGGTTCTCTGAGAGAGATAATGAAGATAGATAATGAATAGATAATGAAGAGAACACCATAACATTGTTAAAAGCTCAGAATGTCATAGTACGTCGTCTATATAGTAACTTCAGTACAATTTTTGAGTGACTTCATGGGAACTGCAGATTTTTTAGTTTGTGAGTGGAGAAACCTGACTGGTACAGAGCTCTGACTCCTCTGGCAGTGTGTGACTCACTCGCACTATATCAGGACTAGACTAGACTGAAGAAAACTGCTCTCTCTGCTGCTCTCAAGCTGAGTATCTTCTCTCTGGAACTTCTACACACAAGGATCTAGCCTCATAGTATTAATGCCTGACTAATTTGAGAAGGTTTTCAGGAAAATACAAAAATAAACTGCCTATATCAATAAGATAATTTGTGTTTTTGGCTGTAAAAATTGAAATTCTCTTCATGAGTGGTCGAGGACAGATCAAATGACACCTACAGGCATCCAAAAAAAGCCACTTAGCCACTTAGATACCACAAAACTGGCGATTACCTTATGAGGATATCGTCTATAATCAGGACTATTCTGGATTCCAGTGTTGTGCAAGTTCACACTTTTCATGAACTAGTTCAAAGTTCAGTTCATTTTATTTTTAGGTGAGATATGTAAATGAAAGACTGAACTTATTTTTCAAACTGACTTCCAGTTACAACAACTTTACAACATATAAACCATAACCACTATAGAGCCACATCAGCCCGTTTGACATTATAATGTGTTTAATGCAGCTTTGTTTACGTCTTACAGAAACAAAACTTAAAACCACATGGCTAGTTTGCATAAACTGTAAAAGCTGGAAAAAAGCAGCTTTTTCCTTGTGCGCTGATGCATCAGCTTCTGTCAGACTAAAGGACACGACTATGTGTTGTTTCTGTGACAGAGGGATGTCACTGCAACTTTTGGACGTGTAATTTGTAGAATACATAGAAAGTGAATGAGGGCGGCGCGCGTATGGAGCAGCATGTCCTGTGCGCATGGATTTCAGGAAATAGGATCTATCCTATTTCTGTCTGATCTATCTGATTTCCTTTTGCAGTCATGGAGTTCACAAACATTCCAAAGTCATTTTCCACTGTTAGGACATTCAACCACACGATTATGATGTCTGAATCCCAAAACTAAAATATGATAATATCAGAACCAGAAACAAAAGCGATATGGTTCAAAAGATTAGAAAAGACTGGCTTTGTCAACAGACACATCCCACTGGGAAAACAAACATGGTGGTTTGATGCTCACTTTTTCAGAAAATCCTTCCCAGTATGCAATGCGCAATGACCCGAAGTCAAAAATTCGTGATGCATGTATTATGAGGGACCCTGTGATTCCGAGCCCTAGTGTCCAATCATCCATCCATCCATCCATTTTCGTCCGCTTATCCGGGGCCGGGTCGCGGGGGGAGCAGCCTAAGCAGGGACTCCCAGACTTCCTTCACCCCAGACACGTCCTCCAGCTCCTCCGGGGGGACCCCGAGGCGTTCCCAGGCCAGCCGAGAGACATAGTCCCTCCAGCGTGTCCTGGGTCTTCCCCGGGGCCTCCTCCCGGCGGGACATGCCCGGAACACCTCCCGAGGGAGGCGCCCAGGAGGCATCCGGAACAGATGCCCGAGCCACCTCAACTGGCTCCTCTCGACGTGGAGGAGCAGCGGCTCTACTCCGAGCTCCTCCCGTGTGACTGAGCTCCTCACCCTATCTCTAAGGGAGCGCCCAGCCACCCTGCGGAGGAAACTCATTTCGAGCGCTTGTATCCGCGATCTCGTCCTTTCGGTCACTACCCAGAGCTCATGACCATAGTGTCCAATCAGATTTGTTTATTTCAGTGGAGCATGTGAAACAAAGAAGCTCATTGGTTATCCATCATTTACAAAGAAATTGACATTTCTCTCACCTCAGATTAAAAATGTAGTGCTTCATTCATTGATTCTGCAGAGTTTCAGTCAGCTGTGAAATTTTTGTTTTTCTTTTCTTGTTAGCGACCATATTTGTTTTTTGTTTTTTTTTAAACAAATTGACCATGCACTAGAAAAAAACGATATCTAGATAAGTTAAAATGATTTAAATTAAGAACATTTGACTTGATTTGAGTAAATTCAACTTGACAAGCAAAATTATCTACAAATGTAATAAGAGTATTTTTCTTAATACAAGCAACATTCGACTGTGTTTATTTTAAGTGAAAAAACTTTTTGTTTTTCTTACTTTAAGTGTAGCAAGATGCATTTTCATATTTTAACTGCAAAAAGTCTTGTCCCACTGGCAGATAATTTTATGTGTCAAGTGAAATTTACCCCAACATGATGAAACTTAATTCAAGTCATCTTAACTTGGCTAGATTTTAGTTTTTGCAGTGTGCATGTCCCTGATTGCCTAATCCACCTGTCAATCACCCCACCTAGACTCAGTGGATTGAGTGGTGACCAGACTCACATGTTTGTAAAGTCCTGAAATGTGTGTCCTAAACAGATAAACAGATACTTTAAATTGGCCTTAAGACAATGAGGGCGAGACACTTCACACCTCTCCTCCGTCTGCAGCGCTGCACAATGTGTGACCGTCTTTGAGTATGGAGGATAGCCCATAGGCTCAGAGTGACAGCCACATCTCTGTCACTCTGCCTCAGGGCACCTTCTCCTTCTGAAGTGTTTCCTCACCACCGGATGTGACTGACAAGTAAAGCAGCTAATTGAGAGGAGTACCAAGATTATCACCATATTACTATAACATGATCTGAATGTGTTTATTGAATGTATACACTAAATGACCCTTCCCCATCTCTCTTTCTTCTTTCTCTCTCTTTGTGCCCTCTCTCCTTTGTCTTTGTCCTCTTTTCTCACCTGTTCTTTTTTGTTTCACCTTTTTATTCTTTCTCTATCCTTTCCCTCCTCTTCCTTTTTTCACCCTCACTCCTTCTCTCCTATTATTCTCATTCTCCCTGTTACAGCCTGTTCTCTGACTCTCTTCTGTCTCCCTGCTCTGTTTCTTTTTTTTTCTTCTCTCTTTGCCCCCCCTCGCTCTTCTCCTTCTCTGTTGTCTCCCCGTTAGAGCCTGTTCTCCCTCTCTTTCTTCCCTCTCTCTTCTCTTTTTCTTCTCCCTTTTTTCTCCCCCCTTAAGGCATGTTTTCGTTCTCTCTTGTTGCTCCTCTCTCTGTTCTGTTTTTCTCTTCTTGCTCAACCTCTTTCTCTCTTTCTCTCCTTTGTCTTTCCCCTGTTCTCTCTCACCCCTCCCTTCTCTTTTTTTTCTCCCCATCCTCTCTTCCCCATTACAGCCTAGGTTAGGATTCACACTTCTTGCTTCTCTCTCTGTTCTCTTTTTCTCTTCTTTCTCTCTCCCATTACAGCCAGTTCTCTCTTCTCTCTCTTTACATATTCCTCATTTCCCCATGTTCTTCTCTCCTTTCTCTCTCTTTATCTTTTAATTTTCATTCTTGGTCTTCACTTACTCTCTTCTGTCCCCTCTCTTTCTACTCATTTTCTCCTCTCTTGCCCCCTCTCTCTATATATACACATTCTCCAGTAACTCCTCATCCCCCCATCGCTCTCTCGCCCTTATCCCGAAGTGGCCAAACTAGGCTGATTAGTTTTGATGTCGCGCTCATCAAGTTCTCGGTGCACCCGTTCTCCAGCAGCAGTGCCCGGGGACCCTGCCTCTCTGCATCCACATCCCCACACGAGGGCTTCCCTTTGAGGTCAGGGCCCATCCGAGTGTCCTGGGGGCTTCTCTCATTAGCCAGCCCCAGTGGGTGAATCTACAGCCTCCATCAGAGAAGACTCAACATCTGAAGAGGGACAAGCACCGTTAACATAAAGCAGAGGGGATACTGTCAAGAAGTGCAGCAGAAGTGTGTAAAAAGTTCTAGATATTTAAATGACATTGGTGGAAATTCAAAATATGCTGTGCTTTAAAATTTGAAAAACAGAAGTAGTTCATTTTGCAGCGGTCCAAAGTTATTCTTCACTTACATTATGCATTCCGAGCATCACAATTACTCACCATGATGAGTTTATAAGCGTGTTTCACAACTTTCAGAGGAGGAGAGAGTGGAGTTTTGCTGTCATAACAACAATTAACATCCTAACTGTGA